TGCTGTCCTCAGAAACATAACAGAAAACGACATCGTTTCATCATGTTTGGTGAAGCTTGTACGTTCTTGAATTTTTGTTTATACTGTTTATATTTCATAAATTTAAATTTTTATTAAAATAAAAAATAAAAAATTACTTTTAAAAATAGTAAAAAGTGAGTAAAAAGAAAGTTTTTAAAAAATAAAAATTTGAAATTTTTTAAAATTTACTATTTAAATTTTTTTAAGGTTAAAAAAATTAAAAATTTTAAATTTTTAAGAAAAAAAAATTAACTTTATAAAACATAAATAGTATAAAAAAAACTAAAGCATTGGGATGCTGAACCAAATATACCCTTAAAGAGCTCTTTTTTGGTAAAACCCTTCTTAAACCCCCAAACTTACCTCAAAATAGTATTTAAGCTTTTAAGCTAAAAATGAAGCAGATAATCCTAAAACTTCATTTACGATGCAAATAAACCCTTTTCACAAACAAGTCAAACGGTATTTCATATTTAATATTACCTTGAAAGCATGAGCACCCATGAATGAGAAGGACTTATTTGCACTATTAATGGAGTTAGAGGGTTTATCTACTCCATTTTTAATTTAAAAGATTCAATGCTATTTTGAGGTAAATTTGGAAGCTTGAGTAGGGTTTTTGCCCTTTTCCCTCTTTTCTTTTTAAGTGTCAACTTTTTTCTTTGCGTTATTGAAAGGTTTTTTTTAGAAATAGTAGATGATGAGTTAAATAATAGAAGAACTTTTAATCAATTGAGACATTTATTAGGGGGTAAAATAGAGACCAAGAGTGCAACACGAGAACTTTTTAAAAGGTCACTTATCATGGTATTATTCTTGCCCAAGTACGCTTAGAGTTTTAGAAGGATCAAATCTGCCCTTTGAGTCTAATAGATTGTCCCCAAGTCTTAGTATTTAGGCTAAGTTGATCGAAAATTCAAATCTTATTAACTACTTAAATATTTGCACTTGACCTACAAGCTATAAGTACTTCTCCCAACCCATAGATTGGGCCCATTCCCTTTCCTTTTCCCCTAAAATTGCCCTTGTTAAAAAAAAAAAAAAAGTTTTAATAGGATCTACTACAATAGTGTTGATAAGATTACACACAAAGGTTTTGCATTTTGCTTGCAAATATGACATTTAAAAAAGAAAAGTCTCTAACCCAAAGTTAGATTCACTAGTCTACAAATAAAGTGTCATTTTATATATTAAATTTAAAGTTTAAATTTTAGGGTTAGTACATCAAAAAAATAAATTTTTTTAAATGTACTAAATTGATATAAGGGTACACAATACAACTTTAAAATAATTGAAAAAAGATTAATTTTAGGGTACACAATCGCTAACACGGAGATGCTATGGTTAAATACAAAGAAAAGTCTCTTAAGTAAAATTTAGTAATAAAAAGTTGTGTTTTGTTCCTTCCAATAATCCCTTGTTCAGTTGATAACAAGATCCTTTTTTTTTTCTTTAAATAGGGTAATTTGGGGAAATGGGGAATAGAATTCGTAAGGTTTAAAACTGTAATTCACAAGAGATGATTCCTATTAAACCAAAAATTTTGACCATTAAGTCGAGACGTGGAGATTGATTGATAACAAGATCTTTGGAAGGAATCATTATCACGTTCGTTGAATAACAATGTCATGAGTCAATGAATTTAGGGATGGGGTTTCGGGTTTCCAAGTGCAAGCTTGGTCATTATAATTTGTCTTCTTGATACATTTGAATGAGTTACACAAGAAAGGATAATTTTCTTTTCTCTAAATCACTTTCCACCTGAATTAAGATTCAAATTTAAGATTTTTAATTTAGAATTTTAAATTTTTAATAATTGAACCACATTCTCAGGATTAGTCATTACAATTTGTTAATTTCATAAAATGATGATAAAATTGGATATTTGAGGCTATCTTGGTCTTAGACCTAGGGCTGGGCATTTTCTAACCGAACCGATTGTTTACCCAAAAATTGAACCGAAAAAATGAATTTAGTTCGGTTTCAACAGTTTTTGGTTTTATTTTTTCAGTTTTAGTGTTAACCGAATATATTTTGGTTCGGTTTCGGTTGAGTCTCTCAAAAACCAAAAACCAAAAATAAACCAAAAATAAGTCATTTAAAAACTAAAATTAAGATAAATATGATAAAATATGTGATAAAATATAATATATTATTAAAAATAATTGATTATTATTTATTTATCAAAAACCAAAACTGAACCGATTTAAAACCGATTTATTGATAACCAATGTGATAAAATATAATATATTATTAAAAATAATTGATTATTATTTATTTATCAAAAACCAAAACCGAACCGATTTAAAACCAATTTATTGATAACCGAATTGATCGGTTTTTTGATAATTTCAGTTTGATTTTGGTTCTCAAAATTAGGAAAAAAAATTTTGGTTATTTCAAAACCGGTTTTGGTTTTAACCGAAACCGGTTTTTGCCCACCCCTACTTAGACCCATTTAGTCTAGATGAATTCCTGCTTAATGTTGGAAGAAATTTTGTTTAAGGAGTAGAGGAATTCTGCAGCGAACAGAGTGATTTTTTAGGGGTTGGAGCTGGAGGAGGAAGAATAATCATGAAACAATAACTTGGAGTTGGAGGAGTAATTTAGTTTGAGCCAACCAAAGAAACTATGAGTATATTTTTTTTTTTTTGAACAAGTTACAATTTTGGAGAAGGTAGGATTCGAATCTCAATTTTAGGGGTTAAGGGGTATCTTTTGATTAGACGTATAATTA